CTCTCATCAACCCCTCAGCTGGCTTGTTCACATACTCACCCTTGCTTACTTCCATCTGGTAGGCTTCAGTCTGTCCATTTAGCTTGCTCACAAGGACTCCCTGTCTCATAGTCACTAACATGGATGATGGAACAGGAGCTAGGGATGCTGATTCAGTTGCACTCTAATTTTAATTCAGCTTGAGTTTTCCAGTCTGACACTGGAAGGCCACTTTCACCCCTTATAGGTTTAAGAAAGTATATCTCTCTGAGACAAAAATAACTAATCTGTGAAATGAAAACAATTTATCTACCTTACAGGGTTGTGGTTACAGAGTAAAGAAGACTATTGTAAAGGCAAACTAATTATTACACATGGAGCAGATACTACATAAGGGGACCATTCAATGAGACTGCTTCCTTTCCTTCCCAAGTTAGTCCTCAGCTGCCACCCTGAGTCCTCTGAAGATGACACAGAACTTCTATTCAAATCCCTTTGTCTAACCATCAACATCTGCTTTTTCTGCATCCTCCTTGAAACTTTTTCAGCCTTACTTCTTTGCCCTATGGTCTCAGCTCCAAATATACAGGACTTTTATTAAGTTCAGAAGATAGGGTACCAAGACACAGACTCTCCCTAGAAATGAGCTTACCTGATGATTTTTCTTTTTCTATTTTTGTATTGTTTGGCTTTCAGTGCTGGGGTAACAAACACAGTATCTGGTATTTGAAAGGCAAGTATTCTAACTACTCAGCCACACCCCATCCCTGAGGATCCTTCTGATGCCCCAGATTTCTAAGGACAAGGTCCTGAGAGCCACTTACTTGCCCCTCCCTTTGAGTCTCTTCAAAGGTAGGTGCTATGCCTGTGTAGCCTCCCAGTGTATCAATACTAGTCAAGCAAAAGCAAGATCAGAGTCAGGCTGGTCCTACTCCATCTATTCAGAAAGGCTATGAAATACTTCATCTTGAGGCAAAAACTTTATCATCTAGGTTATCTGCCTAAACAGGATATGTGCAGAGACACTGATGAGATAACATCAGGATTTTCCCCTTTCAGCTTCAGGCAGCCTAACTATGAGGGAGAAAGCTATAAACCCTTTCTCTGTGCCTGGGTCTGAGGGACTAGGATTTAGGAGCTCTCTGTATTCCCTGATAGGCAGAGTGGTCCATGGCTAGGTAACAACAATGGTGGCATTCCAAAATGGCTGGCTTCTTCCTCACCCTCCTGGCTGGAGACAAAACCTGGCAGCTTAAAAACAAAAGTCTTGCAGGGTTTTGGTTTTTTTTTTTCCTGCCAGAAGCCCCTTGCTGATGGACTGGCTCAACAAGTTCAAGGCCAGATCAGGACATGTTTACACAACAGTTGTGGGTCAATCAGCCAGCCTGTATTTCTTCAAACTGACCAATAGTGTATTAGACAAGGCAGACTCTTTAGAGACTTAAACACTAGCCCTCAAGGAGAAGCTGGGCTTCCCATATCCCCTGTATTGTGGCTGTCTTTCCATCCGAATGTTTGCCCTCTCTCTCTCTCTCTCTCTCTCTCTCTCTCTCTCTCTCTCTCTCTCTCTCTCTCTGTGTGTGTGTGTGTGTGTGTGTGTGTTTCACCACCCATAATAACAACATTTCTTTACTGGCTGATTCTGTCTGCCCTGTTTGCTGTGTTCCACAATTTTCCCACTGCTCCCTGTGCATTCAAGATTTTTCCTGCCTTTTGATTATTTAACTAGCAGAGAAAACAAAGATGATCAAGAATCCTAGACAGTAACAGTTCTACGAGTAAAAGACAAGCTTGCTGCCATTTCTCTCATTCTCTTATTTCTCTAGACTAGTCAAGCAGGGCTATTTCTTCCATACACACTTTGAGTGCAAAATGACAGTTCTTGAGGGGCCAACTTTTCCCAAATACTTTCCTCCTCCTGACATCCTGACATCTCCAGTCCCAAACATTCAGCAGGCCTTAATCTCTTGACTGAGAGGCAAAAAAAAAAAAAAAAAAAAAAAAAAAAAGGTGAGGACTTCCCATTATGCAGCTGCCACATAAACCCAGCTAGTGTTCACTTTTGAGGAATGGGATGGTGGGAGGAGGGAGCAGTTCATCCAAAATGTGCATTGAATGGAGCCTGTTGGAGACCTTGGGGCACAGCATAAAGGGTTACTGCCCAAAAGCAATAACCTATCCACAAATTACTGTATTACCTTAAGCACACCTTGCTGGTTTTCTCGGGCACATCTATGACCATAGGGATCTTAACTGTTATGCCACACAAAGACCTGTGAGGCTGAGAGAAAATGGGTTAAAAGAGGTCTGGAGGATATTTCTTCATCTTTAGTAAGTACGCATTTAGGCCCAGATGCCTTCCCTGCCCTCCCCACCCCTTGTCTATAAAAGGCCAAAGGGAAGCTACCAGTGTGGAAGTCACTTTCTCTAAGACCCCCTTTTAAAATCTTTTCAAAAGCTCCATTCTGGGGCTGGGGATGGAGGTGTACCACTTTAATCCTAACATTCAAGACAGGCAACTGTCAATGAGTTCAAGGCCACTGGCCTTTAAACCAAGTTGCTGAAATACCCAGTGAAAGCCTGTCTTAAAACAAGCCACCCCCACAAAAAAAATCAAAACTACATACACACACCCTAATCCCAATTGTTCAATGATATACACCTAAAAAGAGTAGATGAAATTCCAATGTTTGGTATTTGGGAATTCCCAGCACTGGGTCCTAACCTCTTTTGTACATCTTAGCTTTGCCATCTCAGCAAGGCTCAAGCTGCCTGCTGGCCACTCCCTTTCATTTCTAATTCTATCTACCCTTTCTGAACCAAACTCCTGTACTTCCCAGCTGCTTTAAAAGATGACACCCCCACTGCATACATAAATCTCTTCCATGGCAGTTTGCCTGTAAGCTCATGAATCAGCAACCAAAAGTATGCAGAGCCCCAGGGTTTGAGCAGTCCATGCCCTGAGGTTATTATCCAGGGGACTGATTATGACTTTCTTTTTAAATTTAAATGCAGTAACAACCCAATCCCATTTCCACCCACCCACAGATGAGCCTTGGGCACCATTTCCTTAAGTTTCATGGACTGGGACAAACAAAGGCTAAAGGTGTTTTCTAAAACTCTACAAAGACAGCAAGTCCTTCTGGAGCATCCATCCATTAACTGTTTTATAATGCGAGGCTCTGAGAGGGTTATAGCTGAAGTCTGATTTATTTACCCCTATGAGTGTTTTGAGAGAATTTAGATATTCACATGAAGCAAGCAAAGCAGTTAGGGAAACTTAACTATACAGGAGGTTCAAGAAAGAGGTCTGGTCCTCAAGAAGCAGCCTGAAATGCCCCTAGGAAAAAAGTTGGTTGAGAACCGGGGCCTGAAAGGAAAAGGACTTAGACAGGAGTAGGGTGTCAATGTCTGCGGGTAGGAAATGTGGCCGCTGGGCTGAAGTAAAAGCAGAAGAGAGGCAGACCCGAGATATAAAAGTCCAGCTGCAAGTAGAGGTTTGTGCTGGTAAACATAAGTAGGGGTGACAATAGTGTGGTATCTGCAATCCTGGATGCAGGAGGTTCCATGCTAACCTTCCCAAGTAAGAGATTTACTGGGTCTCACTGCCCCACTCCAAAGATGTCCAGCCTGCAAAGTCCCTTAGTCAAACCCCCTGTTATTATTCAGGAATGCCCAAATAGTCCAGAGTGGTGCATCTTAGGGCATATGAGGTGTCCTGCACTTGGGGGAAAAGGATTTGTTGGAATCTCCTCTGGTAGGGTAGGAAGTCCAGCAATGCAGTGCCCTGCATCCTGTCCATGTCAGTGCTGCCAAGGCAGGCGGGCCAGAGCCGCAGAAGATGTTTGTATGCGGACAGGACTGTCTAGACTCCTATCAAGGCGAGTCCAGCAAGGGGGAGGATGGTTCTGCTGTATTTGTCCAGCTACCGCCTCTGCCTCACCCCCTACCCATGGCTCATCTGGCAAGCTTAGCCCCCTCAAAGGGAGCTAAGAAGAAGTCACGCCTTTGGGCGGTCACCAGTGTCAAAGGTGTCTGCAGTAGACAATGACAGCGGTCTGGCAGGCTGGGTGTTTTAAGTAACTGAGAAGTTGTAGGATTTGTCTGCCTTACAAACACCCTGTGTTCTTTACTACAATGATTGCCCCCCTCCGCTTCTAGCACGGAAATCCCCCCCAACAATATTGTGCCCATTTCTATTTTAAACCGAAGGCTGGGGAGTAAAACACGCCCTATGTCCTACAAGGGAAAAGAGACGCGCTAGGGGTAGGAGGGGGGCAACAAAGCGGCCTTGCAGCTCTAACCCAAAGACCAGTGTGAGCTCCTAGTCCAGCCCGCCTGCAATGGGGGTGGGAGCCAAATGAGACTGGAGGCCCAGAAGGGGGTGCGGCTAGTTGGGATCACAGGACCAAGGTTCCAAGGATAAGTGGGAAGTTCAGAAACCCAACTGTGTCCCCCTGAGGAGGAACAGACTGTGGATATCTTAATCCACCCTAAAGCCAGTCTCAGTCTGGCTCTTGCTAGCGCGCCAGCTTCCTCTGCAGAGGAGAGACATAGGAGATGCACCGCAGAGGGGAGGGGCCACAGCAAGGCCTCGCGGGTGAGCAGCACCGGCCTAACAGCTGTTCCAGCAAATGTACTACAAACAAAGCTAAGGAGTTCCCGGCCTGCAAACACATTCTTGGGGTGCTAGCTAGCGGCGCCACTCCCGGAACCTCGCAACAGCACGTGTGGGCCCATCCCAGCCTCCCCTTACAACCTAGAGGCGTAGCCCAGGCTAGTCCGCCCGCCTTCCGGCCCTCCCACCCCACCCCCCAGCCACGATCGTCTGTACCCCGAAGACTAACGGCCTCTGGGCCCCTCACTGGACAGTACACAAAGCGAGTTTCAAGAAAGAGCAGCGGAGGCAGAGACTCTGATCAGTCCGTCCCTTGATGCCCTCTTCCAGGCGACCAGAGCAGAGCACGCGGGGATATACTAGACCTCCAGCAGGATGGCTCCTAGCTGTGCGCAATGCTTACCCTGCCAGGTCCAGCTCCCAGCGCGGTTATTGTCTGCTGAGCTGCTCGGCTCTGAGCTAGAGCCTCTGCCGAGAATGCCGCCACGAATGCTCCTGCTGCAGCCCACACCTCGGCTACAGCATTCTCCTGCACCAACTACCCTTCTTCAGGCTCTGGGCAGCTCCCCCATACCCCTTCACCCAGGACTCCACAGTTACGGGGAGGGACGTCCGTGATCTGATTGGCAGGCATGCGGTCCAATCGCAACAGTTGGAAGGCATGCCCTGGCCCGCCCACTGTTTTCCTTGGTGCTTCTCTCTTTAAATGCAAATAAGTCGGGCGTGGTATTGGCAGGGGGCGGAGAGGTTGTAGAACCCCTAGCCCCGGCTCCCCACTTCCGCCCCCACGCGGGGCGGGTTTCAAGCGTGGCTACACACCCAATTCAAAGATGTAGTCCCGCCCAGATGGGACTAGCCAGATTCTTGGAACTCGGTTTCGATTTTGTGATCATTCCTGTTTCCGTGGCCGGTGCTTTCGCACTACTGCTCCGGAGTTACAACCTAGGAGTTTCTCCACATTGCTTGAGAACAAGTGGGAGAAGTGGGGCAGGGAAGTGGGGAGTCATAGAGATTGTTGGTCTGCAGAATCCTTTGGTACTGTGACTGGCCCATTATTAAGTGTGGCGGCAGCAGGGCCTAGTGGCTGGGGTTCCCAGAGAACAAATCACCTGTCAGAAAAGTAACTTGCCTTCCTGCACATCACACCACCAGCCTCCCCAGAGCCACAGCTTCCTAGCTTTCTCTTGGCTCCCAGAGAAGGCAAGATAGAGGTCCACTTCCGTCAGTCACAGAAGGGTCTAGTGCTGCTCAGGAAAATGAAGCTGCTTTTTGGAGGTTACATGGACTGTCAGCGACTGGAGCGTATTTGCAATATACACCTATGCTGACCTTTCTGGGTAACTTTCATTTTGCTTCTCTTGGAAGATAACTGTTTCTGTAGTTTGACTCACCCAGATTCCATACTTTCCAAAGTATATGGAATGAGTCTCACGCCCTCCAGAGCACTCTCCTTCAATTGTGAGTCTTGTTCTGTGCAGATCCCTTCTGAAAAAATTTGAATACTGAAAGAAGTTTTGTCAGAGTCTTAGCTAGAGGTCAGACTGAGGAACTGTGAGGAGGCCTGTCAGACCAGCCTTGCAGGCTACTGTGTCTGGAATGTGGCAGGGAGCCAACTGAGCTTAGGCCTCTAACTAGCCTAAAGACATTAAGAGGCATTAGTAACTGCCAGTGCCAGGTGAGCTGGAGCAACAAAGAATCCAGTTGTATAACCAGCTCTGGAATGTACAGAAATCCCAGCCTGAAAACTCTGTCAAAGTCTAAAAGGGGAGGGGGAAGTGGGTTGAGGTTGCAGAGCAGGGAGGGATTAGAGAACAATGACACCCCTCCCCCTTGTAGAGTTCTCTGCTGCTGTACTGGATCCTGTCTACCTTGTAAAGATCCAGAGGCTGAACTGGTAAGACTTGGACTGCTACCACTGCCTGTGTGAAGCAAAGGAATTGACATGGCTGTTAGGGCTGGGATCTACTTTCCTTTCAGCCTCAAACTTGCTGAGACCTTGGCCAATCTGGTGTCCCTTCTGAGCCAGGCATTCCATTTCCACAAGGACTGAATAAGCTCTGTGAGTTCAATTCTTTTTATATTTCATGATGCTCCATGACCTTCAATGACATTCAAGACATCTTTAACAAAAACTAGCAATGTGAATCAGTCCTAGTCCTGGGTCTCAGTACATGTTGAATTGTAGACTGCTGTTAACTCACTATATGACTTGGTTGTACAAATCCTTTCCCCTAACCTGGTTTGAATGCCTGGACTATAACATTTCCTTGGATCTCTGCTTTCCAGCTTTAAAAGTCTTGTTTCTCATTTATTGGGCCTGATAACACCATATTTTCTTTTTCAGCACCTGTGTTCATACTCTGCTAACCTGTGTCTCTGTCACTTGAGACTTGCTTACATTTCACACAGACCCTTGATATTTCAAATCAGACCAAGATTTTGATTTGGAAAAGATAGTTTTAAAATCTGGAGTCCAGGGAAAACATAGGTCAAGACATGGCTGTGAGAACATGTGCAAAACAGCCAGGCTGTGGACTTGAAATAGCCCTAGACACTGCTAGGTTGCTCCCACAACAAGAGATAGTCCTGCATGCCCTTTTTTGGTCTCAAAACATTCTGACACACCAGTCACCTTTGGAAGTGATAGATATTAGGGTGAGAAAAAGAAAAGGGGGAAAAGAAAGTAAAGGCCGAAAGAAACATCCAAATTGGACTCTTGTTTGTGGTCATGAAATTCCCAAGTCTTAAGAGGAAAGCACATCTACATTTCAGCACTGTAAACCAAGAAGGATCATGATGGGGGCGGGGGGGGGGGGGCTATGTAGTGGTGTATCCTCAGTGGTGTATCACTCCTCCCTAGGAGTTGAAGAATGATGGATGTATATAGAAATGCCTCCTCTCAAAGAGGCCCTCTAGAGCACCCATCATGAATGTTGACTGAAAGGTGATCAGATCATTTAGTCAAACCAGGAGTTGATGGCTGGAAGCAGGATTTCTTTCGTGTTTTGAGTTTCTTGGTCCGCAGAATCAAGACTATTACGTTGCTACACAATATCTTCTACCTCCAGTAAAAAAACCTATACAGAATTCAGTTGATATCCCTGGGAGGTCTACCCCTATATAAAGGGAAATTGAGGAGTGAATCTGGGGTCAGGGTGAGAGGTGGGAAAAGTGGACAAAGGGGAGACTGTGGTCAGGATGTATTGAAAACAAAAAGAACAAAAAGAAAGGAAATCAAAACAAAACAAAAAGAAAAACTTATGAAGACCAACCACTGCAAGTTGTGTCGCAGCAACTCCATAAACATGGTTACAGTGCCCACTTCTTTGCATTCCACATGTACTTTTTCTAGTCTAGGTCTAGTAGTCTATATTGAGATCTTAAGTGATCTTATAGTGATCTTAAGGAACCTGAGGATGAGATTCTGAGATCAAAAAGCTAAATCAGGTATCTGTCAAGGGTGCTTTGGAGCAATACAGATGGGATGTGTTATGTTTTTTTGTTTGTTTGTTTGTTTTTTCAAATTGAAAAAGGACACTGAAAAAAGTTCAATAGAAGATGGCCTTGATAATGGATTCAAGTCTGAAAAGTACAGGAAGGGTTCCTATCCAAAGTAGAAATGCCCAGTGCTGTGAGCAGATGCACTGTGTTGAACAAGTGGTCAAATCCCAACTGAGAAAAGGAGCTTGAGATTAGATTAGAAAAATAGATCTGGCGGTAAAATGTAAAACAAACATGACTAACTGGATGTACTGATGACCAGTTAACTAATTTCACCAGTTCCTTGGAAGCAATAGAGTACAGTGGCTGTGCAGCGGATGCCCTGGGCTGGAATGCCAGCTTTTCCTAGCTAGTTTTATATCAACATGACATAGGATAGAGTCACCTGAATGGAGGGAACCTCAATTAAGAAATGTCTCTGTAAGATAGAGTTGAAGGTAAGCCTTTAGGGCATTTTCAATCAGTGATTGATGGGTGAGAGCCCAGTGGTCTGATCCCTCCACTGGTGGTCCTGTGTTCTATAAGAAAGCAGGTTGAGCAAGCCTTGGGAAGTAAGCCAGGAAGCAGCACTCTTCCATGATCTCTGCATTAGCTTCTGCGGAGGGATCCTGTCCTGCTTGATTTCCCGTAAGGAATTTTTCCAGTGATGAACAGCAGTGTGAATGTGTAATTGGATAAACCCTTTCCTCCCAAACTTGCTTTTTGTCATAGTGTTTCATCAGGGCAATAAGTAACCCTAAGTAGGACAGAAATTGGTACCCAGATTGTATTGCTCTGACAGACTTGACCATGCTATTTTGGGGAGGATTGTAAAAGGAATTTGGAACCAGAAGAGCCATTGAGTGTTCAAAGGTTTTAGGTAAGCAATTTTGTGGGAGCAGCTGATAGGTGTCTGGCTTGTAAAGTTCCAGAGGGAAGATTGGAAATCACTAAAAATTCTACTTGGGATGTTGCATATTTTGAATTAAGAACCTATGGTTCTGGTCAGCTGGGGTTGAAGAATCACCCATGATTAACAAGCACCACTGATGCTGGTTAGCTGGAACTGAGAAAATGGTGATGATTAAGAGATCAGCATTGCCAGGCATTGGTGGCACATGTGTTTAATCCCAGCAATCGGCAGGCAGAGGCAGGCAAATCTTTGTGAGTTCGAGGCCAGCCTGGTCTATAGAGCTAGTTCCAGGACAGGTTCCAAAAAATAAAGAGAAACCATGTCTCTATAAGCAAAACAGAACAAGAAGAGATCAGCATCATCAAGGGGACATCCTCTGGGAAGTGTTTCCTCAGAGTCAGCACAGAAAAAAATTGTCTTCAACAGGTGGCCGCGGTTGAACCTTGAATTGTCAGTTGAACTTGGCAGTGTAAGAGTCACCAAGGTGCTATTGCTTTTGAAGACATTAAGGGGTCCACGGAGAAAATCAGAGGCTTAATACTGTGTGGAAGGGTTGAAGTCTTTGATGAGAGCTGTGGTTTGGACAAGAATGACCCCCAAAGGGAATGGCACTATTAGTAGGTGTGGCCTTGTTGGAGGAAGTGGGTCAGTATGGGAGTGGGTTTTGATGTCTCTTATGCTCAAGCTATGCCCAATATGGCACACAATGTAGTCTTCTCAGCTCCTTCTCCAGCACCATGTATAAATAGTCTGCCTGCACATCCCACTATGAAAATAATGGACTAAACCTCTGAAACTGTAAGCAAACCCTAATTAAATATTTCCTTTATAAGAGTCTAGAGGCTCATTGTGTCTCTGCACAGAAATAGAAACTATAACTATGACAAGAACCCAGGAGGGGCTATTGGTAAAAGTACAGCCCGGTTGCAGCAAGAGACCCCAGCATTTTGGAGAAATGACTACCATGGAATGACCACCACAAACAGCAGCAGGTATGAAGTGGAGTTGGCTGGAGCTTAGGAGACAATCTTTGTGTACTGCAGAGGGTAGAGCCAGAGAAGTGAACCAAGTCTCTTCAAGGAGCCAAGAAGACGTGAGTGGATCCCAGACATTGGGCACTTAAGTTATTTACACAGTTGGAGGAGTTTGGTTTCGCATTGTTCAGATTGTGACTGTGCTCTAGCTCATCAGTCTTGAAGAAACA